TGGAGCAGCTTGAGCAGGGGGCCTGGGGGACTTGTCCATTCTACAAGTTGGAAGCCCAGACATACTGGTCCTAAAATCAGAGAGAACGTTACCAAAGACTAAATGCATAATGGTTTCTCATTAACTTCAATTAGAGGAAATGTTAATATTTATAAAATTTCACCACATTTGAAATGAATTTGAAGACTAGAGTTTCCCATTCTAGAATAATTTTGCGACAGTCATGACTTTTACAGAGAAATCACAACCAACTCTAATTGAGTGTAGCTAGATAATCTCAAAAGCAATATTACCGGAGTCATTTTCAATTTTAATAGCAGAAATCACATTCACCATAGCCTGTGATGGACTTCAGTCGTTTGCTGCTGGGTGCAGCTATGGTGTGTGGGTAGATGTTTGACACCTGGCTCCGAGAGAGGCAGGGCCGACACTGGTGTCTGGCATAGGCCCTTTGCACATCAGCAGCTATGGCAGAGTCTGCACAGCAGTACTGTGAGGCAGCTTGCAGGAGCCAGAGGCRCAGCAGGCTCAAGAGCAGATGGTGGCACCGTGTGCTGACGTACCTGGGAAGCAAGAGCCTGAGCATAGCCCTTTATGGAGGAGAAACACCTTTAAAAGTTAGACTGTTTTTCAGTCCAGTTTTAGTTTCCCAGCAGAAATGAGCACACAGCCCTCCGCCCAGACCCCCTGGAGCAGATGTGCCTTCTCCATCATTAGCCTCCCCAATCAGCCTGCTGCGCTCATCAGAGAACCTGCAGGACGTGGTCAGCGTCTCCCCATGTCCCGCTCACCACAGGGCTGTGTTTTAGGGTCATGTGTGCTGGGCTCACTGTCCCAGGCCCTCTGCACCCGCGTGTCCCCAGCCCCCACAGCTGCTGACCTTTCTGGCACCCCCCCCACCCGCTGACTCCCCAGGATGTGGTCAGTGGAGGCTTTTCAGAGGCTCCTCTCCCATGGCCACTGGTTCTTAAAATCCCTTCAGGTCTTCCCGTGGCCTTATTCTGACGAAGCACACAACCTTCAGCTGTGACTTTAACCATTCTTGGGTGTGCAGGGGCCTGTGTGCTCAGTGCCCGTGGCCATCACTGCCACCCATTTCCAGAGGTTGCCATTTTATGATGGAACTCTGCGCCCTGTAAAGAACAAAGCCCTGAGCGCCTTAGGCAGCAAGTGCTCGTCCCCTGCCCCTGGAAGCTGGCTCTGCCTCTGCTTTCCTGCTGCTGTCTCATGAAGTAGTGCTGCGGTGTCCGCCTCTTGCCTGGCTCTCCTCTGGGCTCAGTGTCCTCAGGATCCATCCACCTTGGAGTGTGCACCAGCATTTCCTCCCTTTTTCAGACTGAACACTGTGCTGCTGCACCGAGGGACCACGCCGGTCAATCCTGCAGCTGTGACCGTGGTGTGGAATTGCCCATGTGAGCCCCTGCTTTCAGCTCTTTGGGGGCACACACCTTGGGATGGAATTGCTGGGTGAATTGCTCACTCTGTGTCCCATGAGGTCGACACAGGCGTGTTGAGATAGGCTGATGTTGTCCTCCAGAGGTTAGATGGTGTTATGCTTGTTACAACGTGATTATTGCATCATTCCACATCATACACTGTATTTAAGTTTTGTGGTGTACCACCTCTGGGACAGTGGGATAGAAAGGTCATCTCCTGCAGGACGCCATCCTGTTTCATCTCCAGGGTGCTGTTCCTCTGCCCCGGCAGAGCCCCGGGCTTCATGGGCCTGCTGGGGTTCGCTGTTTCCCGTTTTGCGATGGTGGCCACCCTCACGGGCGTGGAGCATCTCACCTCTGTCTTAATGTGTTCAGCTGTGAGTCTGGATGGCTCAGCCTTTAATGACGGCTGTGCGGAACCACAGGAAGGAGAAGTGCCTCATGGTCAGCTCTTGCAGGATGGATGAGCCTGTGGCTGTTGTTTGTTTTCCCCCTTGGTGTTTGGTGACCTGAACATGCTTCTGGGCTGAGTTGGCCTGTGGAGTGGACGTCTTTCACGGAGAGGAATTGGACTCTGAGGGTGACGCTTTCCAGAGCGAAGCCCACGGATCTCGTCCGTGGTCTGAGTAGCAGGTGTCCCTCAATGCAGTGTCAGCCCTGGGGCCCAGGGTACGTCCCTGAGCAGCCCGGGGGGGCATGTGGACTGCATCACAGTGGCAGGTCACTATTGTTAGGTATCCATCGGAAGTAGGAACGTGAGGAGCACAGGACAAGGGACAGCATTGCGCTGTGGTATGTGTCGGAGTGTGTGTCTGTGAGAGCACACACATGTGCGCGTGAGGGTGGACATTTGATGGGTGCTGTTCCTTTGGGAGTCGGCGCCATATTCACGTGGAGACTGGGAGCCCATTCCTCCCTCCGGCGCTCCTGTGGCTGGAGTGTGCAGCTGGTGGCTGACGTCACAGCCCCTGTCACATTTTTGTTTGGTGAATTTATTTTTGTTAAGTACTTTACTGTTTTCTTTTATGGACTCAGAATTGCAGAAATCCAAGGAATCTGCCCCTTGACTTAGTTTCTTGCTGGAGCAAACAAAATACTACTGACACCAAGCTGGGGAACAATCTCAGCGTGACATGTCTCCGTCTGTGACCCCCATGGAATTTCACCTGGCCTGGTCTGCGACCACTGGGACCTGACCTCCCGAGCTCCGAGCTCCGGCTGACCCTGTGCTCCCCAGGGATCAGTCACATTCCAGAACCAAAAGCCTTCCTGGTCTAATCTTTCTAAGTCTCAAGGGACTCGAGTTACGTGACTTGTGAGAGTCCAGCTCCCACATGCCCCGTCCTGTGCTGGTGGTCCCGCGTTGCCTCACCCTGTAGACCCCACATGCTTCTGTCCTTGGAGGCAGTGAGGCTGGCGGCCCAGTGCAAAGGGCTTTGTTTAGATGGTTCCTGTGCCGTCCCCAGGGTGACGTCCAGAAGGCAAGGCATCGGGGCTCTCTGTCTCCCCCTAAGAACAAAGATCTTGTTATGCTGTTACTTCTAAGAGGATTGCAGGGTCCCAACAGCACAGAATTTCAGAGACTTTCAGATCATTTAACGCATGGTCCCCTCCCTGGACAGGCACCCAGAGACGTGGAAGGAACTCAGCGGCAGGCTGGCCCTGGACTCTGCCTGGAGCCTCTGTTCCAGGGMGTGGCAGCACACATCCCTCCAGATTGCCGCTGGCATGTTTTGAGAAGCAGCGGGGGCKCTGGGAAGCAGTTTGGGTTGAGCTGAAATTCCAAAGGGGATGGCAATGACCCTGTCCTTCTCATCTTGAAAGTCTTTGCTGGTGGCCAGGAGGCAAACAGACAGCGCAAGCCAGCTCTGAAGCCAGAACCACCCCCGAATGTGCTACGTGTGGTGACACTCCACTGTGGGGACCTGCCCTGGGCTCTGATGGGGCAGGCCTCAGGTRCACTCCTGCTGCTGGGGTCTGGTTCTCACGGCTTGCGCCTGGGCCAGAGCTTGTGCTCGTGGCTGTGCGATCCTTGTCCTGGCACACTTGTGGCCGGCTAAAGGCCTGAATGTGGAATCTCCCCATAGCTCCTCCTTGCCCTTGTCCCCAGGSTCCACAGAGGGGCCTAGTGCAGGGGACATGTCACTCCTAGGCCAGAGGCAAGAAGAGCTGGGCTCTGTGTCCCACATTGGGGTGAGATGTGGGAGGCTGTGGCTTGACCAGAGCCAGGGCATCACTGGGTGTGGACCCCGTTGGGCAAGCACTGGGGCTACGGGAGGAACAGCCTTTGTGGTCCTGGGAGGCCCAGTGCTAGCCACAGGTGGGGCCCGGGGACCATCAGGCTCCCCCCTGCTGCGTCTGGGAGAGCAGGCCTTCTACTGCCCAGGCCCAGCAGGGCCTTCATCATTGTAGTTCAGCAGTGGACTCTGTGCCGTTCATCTCAGAGAAGGCTAGCTGCGGGGACCCAGCTGGGCATGGCATAGTGGCTGTGTTGAAGGCTCTGCCTATGGGCCCTGAGGTTTGCCCCAGTCCCTGCCATGCGGGAGGCCAGGCTGGGATGTGGTGGGCTCTGCTGGAGGCTGAGTGGAGGGCCTTGGCAGGACCATGGAGGGGGGGCAGGTCCCTGGTGGCAGTGTAGGACTGCTCTGCGTGGAAGGAGACAGAATACACTGGGTTCTTCATGGAAAGACATAGTTACTTGGGTTTTTTTGGGGGTGGTGAGATATGGATATAATTTTAATACCAGTTTCAATTAAAATTCCTTAACCTATTTTCAGTCTGTGTCAACCRTGGTGACCCACATTGGTCCAGAACCTGGGGCCCTAAATAGCAGGGTGCAGATAAGGCCTTTGTTAGCTCAGGAATGCTGCAGGGAGCAGAGGGGAGCCCAGGTGCTATGGATTCAGGCCAGTGGACAAAACCTGCAGGTCCAAGGTCAGATCCCAAGGATCTGCCCTGTCCCCCATATCTTTGGCCCCAAGGCCAGATCCCAGGGACTGCCCGGGGGCTCTTCCTGCTTGTGAGGCCTGGGAGTGGTGCCAGAGACCTTGGAAGGAAGCCTTGCGTCTCAGGGCGTTCTCCACTGACTTGCTGACCCAGGCCTGCCTTCTCTGCTGGCCCTCGGGGAGAAGGAAGCCCCACTGTGCTGGTGCTGCTGGCAGGTTGTGCCTGGCATGATTTTCGTAGGTCGGTTACGGGGGTGCGATTCTTTCTTCACTGGAGGAAACTGAGGCTGGGCAGTCTAAGGCATGGTCCATGAGTAGGCAGCTCTGTGCTGGTAGCCGAGACTGAAGGGCCAGCTCCTTTCCCAGCCAGCTTCCCTGCTGGACTGGCTTCCATCTCCTGGAAGTGGCTCAGTGTTTGGAGGGGTGGCAGCCCCTGGGGGGGAAAGGTGAGGGAGGAGCCCCAGGGAGGGGCTTCACCCTCCAGGGCAGGCTGGAGACCTGGGCTGCTCAGCAGAGTGGGGCTGTGCCTGGGTTGTGCCTGTCCCATCTCCCAGAGTCCTGGGTAGCGTTTGTACAGGGGTGGCCCAGGTCTCGATTCATTCTTAAATTTCTGTTGCAGGACATCACCTGGCAGGACGAGCACTCTGCTCCTTTCTCCTGGGAAACTCGGGTAAGTTGGCTAAACTTAGATCGGTCCTTTGAAGCAGAACTGAGTAGTTCACCCTTTTCTGCAGTCTTGATGGACATGGGTAGTGGGGCCCATGCCAGCTGCAGGCGGCAGCCCATTGTGGTAGGGAGGAGGAGTTGTGGGAAGTCGGACATTCGTGCAGTGGCAGAGTGGTAGTCGGTCTGACAGCCTGAGCCCACGAGGCCTTGTGATACCCCTGATGCCCAGGCTCGGGTTGCCCTGTGGGGGCTCTTCTCTGCCCATCTCTCTGCCCACCAGCACTTGGCACCACAGTGGGGGGCTAATGACATAGCTTTGAACCCGTGGTGGGGTGAACTTAGCCAGTTGGTGCGTGGCTGATAGAACCCAGTGTGGGAAGGGGCCTGGCCTCCAGGCACCGGGGTCTCCATTGTCAGAGTGGCTCAGGAGCAGGGGTCCAGATAGTCTCTGTGCCTTGCCTTCAGCTGTCTCGCTGCCCCGAAGGGACAGAGGTACAATGATTATGGGAACTGCCTTCATGCCAGGAAAAGAAGCGGCAGACAGGACTTGGCTGTGTGCCAACGGGTAGTGGCCACAGCAGCATGTGTGAGCAGAGGTGGCTGGGCCTGGGCAGGTCCCAGCTCATATTAGGGTTTCCAAGTGCTGCTACTTCAAGGGGCCTGTGTCACTTGTCCCCACAGCTTCTGATCAGAGCCTTGCCCTGGCATCCAGGAACAGCTGGGAGAATAGGTGGGGAGAAAGGAATGAGGAGTCCTTGAGCAGACTGCGAGGCTTCCGCTGGGAACTGTCCTGAAATGAAACATTTCCCCAGGTGCTGGGGAGCTGGCAGTACACTGGTCAGTGTTTAGTGAGCAGCTGCTGACTGCTACAAATGCTGGCTGACCAGACCGTGCAAGCTGGGTGCCGCTGAGGTGGGTTTGCACCGAGTCACATCCCCAGCCCTTTACTTTTTAAATTTTGAGATAGAGTTTTACTAAATTGCTGAGGCTGGCCTCAAAGTTGGGATCCTCCTGCCTCAGACTCCTGAGTTGCTGGGATTATAGGTATGCGCCATGGTGTCCAGCCAACTGAGATKATTTTTAAACCTTAGAGGTAGGTTTGGGGGTTGTATGACATGCACTCACTGGAGCATGTTCATTTGGAAAGTGTAGATTCCCTATGCCATTGATACTACCGCACCAGGCCCCAAGCATCCTAAAGTTGCTGGCATCTGCACCCTGCGCATCTTTTTCAAAATTTCATTGCAGAGTAGTGCGGAACGCAGGTCTGTGCAGAGGGCAAGGAGTGGGAGCAGTCTGATGGGAGCCAGAGCCTGCGTAGGGACTGGGCACTGGTGGAGGGTGACCAGATTTGGGCTGGGTGTCAGGGAGCAGCCTGGAATGACAGTAGCTGCCACCCACGTGGACCTGTCTCCCGAGGCCACAGAGCAGGCCGGGTGGCCAGGCAGGCCTTCCTCACCCAGGTACTCAGCCAGGTCCCCTTCTTCCTCTTCTGTGGCCACCAGAGTGGCAGAAGCATCTGCAGGGGAAGCCGTTCTGGGCCCTCGGTCTGGTGACACCACAGGGTAAGGCAGACGAGGCCAGGCATCTAGAGGTGCTGGCCAAGGCCTCATGGACCTGTGGAGTCCCCCGCTGTGTGTCCTGGAGTTGTCTGGGGGACAGCCACCTTCATTGCCCAGAATGACAGACATCCTGGGCTACCCAGAGCTCTCCCCMGCCATCAGCCTGCTAGGTGAGCAGCCCACGTCCTGCAGCCACCCCGCCGTCCACCTCTAGGACGTCTTATTGTAAACTGCATGTGTTGTAGGGTGCAGCGTGGGGTCATGTGCCTTGTGGAGTGAGTTGAGCTAGTGGACGTCCCCAGAGCTCTCCACCACGCACRGCCGACACTGCTCTTTAAACAGCAAGTCCCCAGCTCCTCTCATCCCCACGGCCCCCTGGAAGGGTCATCTTTTCCTCCTGTCCATTGGCCTGGCGGAGGGCTGGGGCGGGGTGGCACCCCACCCGCTGCATTCCTCTCTCATGCTACTGAAGTTTCAAGAGGAAAAAAMCAGCGCCCAGTGCTCCTGGAGGAGGCCAGAGTGCAGGGGATTCCTTGCATTCCCAGGCCGTCTGGGCTGGAGGGTCTGGAGATGCCTGCGGGGGCTGGGCAGGCAGAGCTGGCCCCAGGTCCCTCAGCTCACCCAGGCTGCCTGGCTTCTTTGTGTCTGCCTGGGTGCTCAGCTCTCTTTCTGGGAGTGGTAAGCGGGCTGGGTGGGGATCCATTCCTTCATTCTGAGGGCCAGTTAGGGCATCCAGAGTAGGGAAGCCTTCCAGGGTCTCCTTGGGGCTGCAGGCTCATGTCCTCCATGATGTGTCCCAGCACAGGGATGTGTAGGCTGGGTTCAGTCGCCTGTTCCTGCCRCAGTTAGCGCCACAGTTCAGGGGAGGCAGACGGGGTCTGTTTGAGGCTTGTGCCATCTGCTGCTGGCGGGGAGGGGGCCTTCCCTCCAGGGAGCAGGTTCCCTTGCTTTCAGGGGTCAGGAATACCCAGGTGCCACACATACTCAGAAGTTGTACTTCTGCAGAAGATGTCCCCAAAGGCAACCCGTGAGCAGGCACACCTGGGTGGGCAGTCCCCCAGAGTTTGTCCCTAACAAGCCTCTGCCCCTCGCTCTGACAGGAAGGGCTCAGGGATGGTCTATAYAGTTAGCTGTGTATGGAAGGGTGGGTATGGAAGAGGGCCACAGCTGGGACTGGCTCCCTCCCATGAGGTTCCCACATAAGCTGGCAGAGGAGCCTGTGTCCTGTTGCAGGGTCAGCTTCAATAGGAGAGGTGATCTTGCACAGGTGGTGGCTTTGTTTGGCTGCACAACCCCCCCCACCCCCACCCCCCCGTGGTGTGACCTTTTTCACCAACAGTCCCCATCTCTGCCCTACAGTCCTCTCCTCTGCCTGTCCCTCCCTCCTTCCCTCTGGGCTCTCCTTAATCCCTTCCTGAGGCCAGGGCGAGCTCCCAGCTCCCAGCTCCCATCTCCTAGCTCCCAGCCTGCGACCTCTCCCCAGGCTTCCTGGCCCCTGTGGTTCCACCTGCCCTCTGGCCCCAGAAACCACTGGTCTGTCCTGCAGCCCTCAGCCTGTGCTGCCCTCCTGCAGGCCAGTTCTTCCTTACCTGCCCCCAGTGCTGCCCAAATCTTGATCCTGGTCGCCGTGCTGGGGCTCCCCTGCTGTCCATCAYCTGTGCTGACTCTCAGAGTCCCACCCTGCTCTGCCTGTTGAGCCCTGTGGGTGCGTGCCCAAGGCCCATGGGCAAGGRCAAGCAGTGCTCCTCCAGGGCTGTGTGCCCACCTACTGTGGCCCCTGCTGCCCCTCCTCCTGTTACCCCAGGAATTACCCAGGAGGGAGGCCAGGGCTGGTGTGCCTCTGTCCCCGTGAGGCTCAGCCCCCAGGCGGGCACACTGTGCCCCAAGTTTAGCAGAGCTGTGTGGCCCCCAGTGAGGGCCTCTTCTGCCCTCTTGCACCCGCTTCCACACACCCCAGAAGCCTGTGCCCTTTGCCTGGTAAATACACAGGCATGTGGTATTTACACCTGGACCCTGCCAGTCCCTGCCCGCCTGGGTCTGGCCTTGCTGGCCTGTCCCTGTTGGGCTGTGATTCTGAAGGTTTTCCTATGTGCCTCCTGTTCCTCCCGTCCTTGCCTATGTAGAGAGGAGGTAGGAAGAATAACAGCTCGGTGAGGTTATAGGATCTGTCCAGTGCTGTGATACTGTCCAGCCGCACCCCTGTAACTTTGTCCCTATGAGCGAGGCCTGTCAGAGGCTGCCAAGCCCACTAGTTAGTTTTGGCAGTGGGCACACCCCTTGCTGGAATATCRTGCATTCCTCTCCAGTGAGTGGGATGTAAAAATAGACACAGCGCTCTGTTGTGCCCTCGCTGTTTTTAGAAGGGACGTGGCCCGCTGAGCCCTGGTCCCCATGTGGGCTGACTGCCRCCCTGCCCAGCTTGGCCAGACTCCTCAGGGTGTGGAAGGTGGGCTGAGAGTGGAGGGGCCTCCTGTTCACTCTCCCGTCTCCCTGTGTGGAGGTAACAAAGGACCACTGTGTTGAGTCCCACCCTGCTCTGCCTGTAGCAGGTGTCATTGACCAGTGGTGTCCACTGGCCGCCAGCTCCTGCCGTTTTCCATGCAGTGTTGCCCGTGCTGGAAGAGGCCGTCATGACCTCCTTTCCCCAGAGCCCAGCTCTTTTCCTTTGTCTGGAAAGGGACTTTTTCCAGAGATGAGGAACTTGTCTGCGGCTTCAAGGTCTTCCCATTTCCCACCTCCTCTCTCAGCCTTGTGCTTGCCAGGGGCCTGTGGGTCCTCAGATGAGTGAGGGGCTGTTGCTCCAGCCCTTCTTAAGTGAGTTAGAGTGGTGGTCCTGCTCCCTCCGTGTGAGTCAGTGTGTCTGGAGACTCTACCTGTGCCTGGCACACAATAGGTGCTCACTAAGCTGCTGCCTGGGCTGTTCTTCCCAGGTGTGCTTGGTCTGAGGTCAGCCAACCTCCCCCACGGACCCTGAGTTGTGGGACAGCCCCCAGATCCCCCGGATCCCCATCAGGCCCTGGCTCCTCTCAGGCCTCACTCTGGTCCCTGGGGGTGGTGCCTGTTGCCCCAAGCTGGCTTGGTGACCATAGGCGTGGGGAGGGGAGGGCGATCAGGGCCATGCASGGACAGGGCAGGGTGCTGTGGGGTGTGCAGCCTCCTGAGGAGGAGCAGCTGGGTCTGGACTGGAGAGGGCGAGTTGCTTTGGCTCCTTGGTGGGCTCTGGGAGGCACTAAGATGGCAGCCCAGGATGAGCCTGGGTCTGGGAGGGAAGGGCAGGCCCACACGCAGAGTCACAGAGCAAAAGCCCATGGGACTTGCTCTGAGATGGCTGGGGGGCTGCGTCCACCTGGCCGACGGCTACACTGCCTGCCTGGCTGTGAGGGCCGCTGTGGGTGTCCCCATGAGCAGGGCCCCAGGGGACCCTGGGCTGGGAGGGGCGGCTCTCCACCCCCTTGGCCTTGCCAGAGTTCTTGCTGTGGGTCCTGGGGCTGCTGAGCTGGGTGGTCGCGGACCACACGGGAGGCTATGTTTGAAAATTCTGGGTAACAAACCCAGGTCCCATGGGGTATGGAGTGGGCCAGAGACCCCCTCACACAGCATGGTTTAAAGGGGATTGCAGTCATGCTTTGTTTTCAGAATTAAGAATACGGGAGAAGCAGGTGTGTGAGAGCTTTTCTTCTGACTCTCTGTCTTCCTGTTCACCTCTGAAGCCCCCAAACTAGGCAGCTGCTCGGGTCAGTTTGGCCTCTGCCCAGGTGAGGCCCTCCTRGGGAGCTGTCCCAAGGCCTCTGTCTTGAGGCCTCTGGGACCCGTGAAGCCCCAGGAGCCACCTGTCACTGCTTGGTTCTTCCCAACAGTGACGTGTCCTCAGAACGGCTGCCACTGGCCTCTGCCCACAGTGGCCTGGCTCAGCCCATTGCTGCACCCAGGTCTGCAGACCCTTCGGCCTTGCCCTACATGGGCCACAGAAATTGTTGATCCCAAAAGAGCCTGCGGTTCAACAAGGTGCTTGGTTTGAAGAGCCTTTGTACAGAGTTTCCTGTCACAGTGCCCCAWCTCTGTGGGCTGGGCCACCTGTTTGAAGCAGGTCATCTGCGCACCCATGGTGTCCCCATTTTCTGCTGTGGAATTCAGAAATGAGCAGTRTATTCAGAGTCTCATTCAGAAGTCGTCCATTAAGGGCTGCATCACTGCAGATGGACATGCAGAGGTCCCGTTGAGTCCTGCCAAGCTCTGCTGTCCCCGCACTTGGTGGCCTCTGAATCTGGGTCCATGCATCCAGGCTTTGGGATCACTGGGTCAGGCTGAAGTCCTAGCGTACGTCCTCCTGATAGACTCATGGCCTGGGGCATTGGGTCGTTCCAGACCTCCATTTCCTCATTTATAGGATGAAAATAATTTAAAAACTGCACTCTGTGTGCCCAGGGCATGCTCGGGATGTCCACGTGCTCTTGACCATGTCTCCTGCAGGGCTGRCTTTGATGGCTGTGTGTCGGGTCTATTCCTCCAACACTGAGCGCCCAAGATCCTGCCTTGTGGTGTGAACATGAGCTCTTTGTCTTCTGTCCTAAGCCCCAAGGGGTGACTCCTGGCCCCCAGCCTGGGATCCAGGAGCACGTCTGTTTAGGGCCTGCTGTACCCCTCGCTCTGGCAGCATGTCCCGCCCATGGGGAAAGTCCTGGGAGACTGCAAGAATGTGAGAGCCAAAGAGGACATTTACCAAATGCAGGAGCCCGTGTGGCATCTTGGAGACCCAGGAGCGGTTGAATTGGCCAGATGGTTTGACTCACTTAGTGTCCACGCAAGGCTGGGGCAGAGAGATGGGCTCCCTAGGAAGCAGATGGACAGCTGGCGTCCAGAACTATACCATCTTTGTGTGTTGGTATTTCACTTCTGGAAACCTCTCYGAACGTGGCAGCCCAGAAGCGGGGACAGTGCCATGCATGCAGTGTCCCTGGCCCCCGACTCCTGGGGTGAGGACGCAGGAAAGCGTTGTCTGAGTGGGAAGTGCTGACTAGGTGGCAGGCAGCTGGAGGGRAAGCTGGCAGCATGGAGGGCAATGGCAGGCGCACGGCAGCGTGGGTGGTACCCAAGACTGAGAGAAACTGCAGGCGGGAGGCCCCCTCCTAGCACATGTTACAGAGGGGCAGCATGCCCAAAGGTGGCCGGGGTGTGGGAGGGCAGGGGCTACGAAGGAATTTTCTGTTTTCACTGCTCTCTGTGACATCGTTTTATTGCTTCTTTATTTATTCAGTCTTTTGCGGAACTGGGGATTGAATCCAGGGGCTCTCCACAATGAACCGCTATCCCCAGCCTTTTTTTTTTTTTTTTTTTTTTTTTTTGAGACAAGGTCTTGCTTAGGTCCTCACTAAATTGCTGAGGCTGGTTTTGAAACTCGTGATCCTCCTGCCTCAGCCTCCCGAGTTGCCGGGATCACAGGTGTGGGCCACTGCGCCTGGCTTGCCTACTTATGAAAGGGCAGGTACAAGGAAGTGGAGATGGGGGCAAGGGGAATTTTCAGAATTGATTTCAGAAATGATGGGATAGCAGGTGCCCTGTTCTGCAGAGCTGGGGACGTGATAGCCTCCAGTGGGCTCCCCTGGAGTGGCGGMCACTGAACATTTCTCTGGAGTGAAACACAGTCAACTCTGCTCGGCAGCACGTCCCAGGTGGCTCTGGTCAGCGGGAGGTTGGGTCTCAGATGTGGCTGGTGCCTGCCCTGCCCCTTCCTCCCCTGTGGTCACCATTGGAGGCTGGGTGGCAATATGCAACCTGGCCCTCTGCAGGCCATGTCCTTGCTCCTCATGTTCCTGGGACCTCACCTGTGGGCAGCAACTCACGGGGCCTGCAGGAGGCTTGTGCACTGCTGGCCCAGCAGGGAGCCCAGTCCTCAGCCAGATTCAGACTTGGGAGCTGCTGGCAGGGCCGGACGTAGTAAGACTGKGCCTCGAGGTGGCTGTGTCTTGGATATGCAAGCAGGGTCCTGCAAACAGCCACTCAGGACACCGGTAGCGCACAGCCAGCAGCTCCTGAAGCATCTCTCCAGAGCAGGGGGCGGTGAGGAGCTGACCGCCTGCTCCTCGCTGAGCTTCCTCCTTCCTTCTCTTTGCAGAGCCAGATGGAGTTCAGCCTTTCCTCCTTGTGTATCCAGGAGCCAAGCAGCGGTGCTTCCACCAGTGAGCTGAGGCCATTGCCCAAGGCCTCCCAGGGCCCACAGGCCCTCAAGACCACCCAGGGCAGTAGGTCGTCCAGCCTGGACGCCCTGGGTCCAGCCAGGAAGGAAGATGAGGCACCCTTCTGGAAAATCAATGCAGAGAGATCCCGGGAGGGGCCTGAGGCCGGATTCCAGTCTCTGACCCCCAGCCAGATCAAGTCCATGGAGAAGGGGGAGAAGATCCTGCCTGCCTGTTACCGGCAGGAGCAGTGGGTCCTTCCCAGTGTGAGTGTGGACCGGGAGAGACCCCCGCCTGCCCAAGCCACCTCTGGCATGCTGCCCGAGGACCAACTCTCTGAGCCCTTGGGGAAGCCACTGTCCCTGGATACCTCACAGGACGAGGACAGCGCTCTGGGTTCAGAGCCCACGCCTGCACAGGTGGGCAGCCCGTGCCAGGGCCTCTTCTGGCCAGGCGCCTCTTCCAGGGGCAGCCAAGGGGGACCCCACAGGACGGCTGCCTGGTATCCACGTGGCCTTCCTCGCCCTGCTTGCCCTCTCGCTTGCCTTCACAGTGGGCTCCACCCCAGCCTGGTACCCAGACTAGTTTGCTGGCCGTGTGGCTCCAGCCCTCCCTGTGTGGACAGGTGGGGAGGGGCTAGGGGAGTCTGGGAGGAAGGGTCAGTGTGGGGAGGCTGGGAGGCCTGCCCTCTCCGTGGGGCCTGTGGCGTCAGGCTGTGGCATTTGGAACAGCATCTCGAGGCTGGGAGAAGCAAGTAGGGCGGCTCCATGAGTGGCCTGGAGGCTTGTGGACCTGGGATGGGGACCAAGGTCACTGCCCTCCTGCCTGCAGCACAGGCTGGGGTGTCCAGAGGAGGGATGGAAGAGGAGCTCTCCAGGGCGTAGACAGATGCCAGGTCTGCTAAGCCCTCGGGGTGAGGTGCTGGGTATTGGAGAGGGATGAGTGGCTGATGGCTGGAGTGTCCCTGGCTCCTGGTAGGAGTGGCCCCTGTCATCTTCCCCGRGCAGTCTGTGTCACAAAGTGGAGACAGCAAAGAGAAGACGGAGCGTTTGTGGCAACTCTAAATGGCACTAGTGTTGGAGGGTTGCTCGCAAAAGCAAGGAGCCAGGACACAGAAACAGGGGAGCCTTTCTCTCCAGAGGAGGCTGGCTTTGAGGCATTGTCTCACAAACAGTGCTGTGTTGTGAGCGTCTGGGAGCTGGCTCTGGGCACCGGGGCGGCCGAGGCCCCAACAGGGCTCTGTCGTCCATCCTCGAGATGGCCCTGCTCACCCCCTGGTGCTGTGCTGCCTAGTGATGTCTCCCTGGCTGTGACCTGCAGAGCCTCACTGGAAGAGTCCTGAGGGAGGACGGGAACAGATGGGCATGGCCAGAGCAGGAAACGAGGGTCCTGGCCTCCCAGAAGTGTCCACCCGTTGGTGCTGGCTGTACAATAGAACCTTATGGTGATGAGAAATGTCCTCAAATAGGTCAGCACTCCTGCATGCTCTCCTTCGTGATCAGGCCTTTTCTCTGCGGCTGCCGACCAGCTGTCCGATGTTCCTGTTGGTCAAGACGCAGGCACATGGAGAAGCCCACTGCACCCCAGCTGCTTTGCTGTGTGCCCCAGGGTGTGGCTGTTAGCAGTCAGGCCTCCTGGCTTTTGGGACCCTGTGGCCATCTGACGGTCACACTTTCTTTGGTTTTAAACATCTTTAAACTCACACTGAAGTACTCGGGACATGAGCACGTCATTCCTGCCCTTTCTGGGTGTGGGGTTCAGTGGCGCTAAGCAGTGTCAGCATCGTGCAAGCCCCTCCTCCTCTGCACCAGAGCTTTCCTCAGTGCCCTGGGCCAGCTCACAACCAGACAGAATTGCCATGACGCCCCCACACCCCTGGAGACGCGGGCTGGCATTGAGAAGCTGCCCGGCTAGGCGACCGGCTTGCTTAACTTAGCAAGTGACGTGGCCAGTAATGCCCTGCCGCTCTGGTTGCCGGGCATTTGTGGGCAAATGCTTGCTTCTTCCCTTTGCTGTTGTGACATGGGTGGGCAGATCTTTCTGAGCCCCTGTTCTTTGGGTGCCTCCCAGACGCAGAATGACTGTACTGAGGATTGAACCCGGGGCGCTCAGCCACTGAGCCACATCCCCAGCCCTTTCTTTTTCCTGACCCAGGGCCTTGCTAGTTGGCTAGGGTCTTGTTAAATTTCTGAGGCTGGCTTCAAGATTTTGATGCTCCTGCCTCAGCCTCCTGAGGGCACTGCCTGGGCTATCAGTGGTATTTTTATTTTTTTATTTTTTAGTTGCAGTTGGACACAATATCTTTATTTGTTTATTTTGATGTGGTGCTGAGGATCGAACCCAGGGCCTCACACATGCTAGGTGAGCGCTCTACCACTGAGCCACGGCCCCAGCCCGCTATCAGTGTTTTTGAGGAGCCTCTCTGCTCTTTCCCACGGTGGATACACTGTCCCACTGTTCCCCCAGCACTTGTGAGGTTCTGCATCTGCCCTTCCTGACTGGCATGCGGCTCTCACCCTGGCCACTAACATGTGAGTGTTTCCTGAGCTTGGTGGCTGTCTCCTTGAAGAACACTAAGTTCCCTTGCTTACTTTTTACTTGGATGTTTGTGGTTTGCTGTTGGATCGAGGTGGTCTCCGGTTACTCTGGGTTTCCTGGAGGAATCCCTGATCCTTTGCGCCTCTTGAGGAGGGGGAGCCCATGGTTCCAGCATCTTCTCCCTCCCACGGCTCCACGGCCACCTCTGCAGGCTGCTCTTCTCAGCCTGCCCCACCTGGTCCCTGTCTCCAGTCCTGCGGGATTTGCAGGAAGTGTTTGTGCCAAATGCCACCAGTTGGTTCTGAAGGGAAGTAGGACGGCTCCATGAGTGGCCCGGAAGCTTGTGGACCTGGGACGGGGACCAAGGCACAGACTGTGGTGTACCACATCTAGGAGGCGGGAGGGAAGGGAAGGGGATGGACCACACTGCTCCCTCCGTGGCATCTCAGGTGAGCATACCTGGCCTGAGACACGTGTCCAGGAAGCCACCGACCTTGCCCAACCTTTCCTGTGTGCTGTAGCACATCAGGGTCACTGCCCAGCAGGCAGCTCCCTGCTGGCCCAAACTGGCCCTGAGCACGGCACAGTGGGGGCCTGGTCTGCTTGCCCAGGGGCCGCCCATGCAGTGCCGCATCCCTGGATTGTCCCTGCTCTTGGAGACCCACTCCATGACCTTCCACATACCCCACTCGCGCACGCTGGCCTTCGCAGAGTTCTTGCCATCCTCTCTGTATGTGTAAGCGTCTCTGTTTTTGCCGAGTGATGCGGAGGACCATGTCACGCTGGTTGGCTCTGCGCACCTGTGCTGCATAGCCGCATGGGGCACAGGTGTGGGGGTGGGGGTGGGCACTGGCACTAGACTTGCTGTGCTGTTCTCGATTCGAGGTCAGAGCCCAAKAGGGAAGCAGGCAGCATCATCTGGGCCACTGTAAATGAGGTGCTGTTTTTAGCCCCACTTCCAGGGGCTGTGTCTCACTGTGCTCCTGTCTCTGCAGGCCAGCTCCAGTGTCATCCTGAAGACGGGCTTCGACTTTCTAGACAACTGGTAAACAGTGTTGGGCGTGGCGCAGCCAGGAGCCGAGGTGTCCAGGGTGCTGTGCCCAGGGAGGGCTTGTGGCCTGTTTYCTGGTTTCTCTACTATTGATTTTTTGGAAGCTGGTAAATTTGCCAGATTTTTTTTCTTTTTGATAAAACCAGATATATATGCTATTTTCAACAATTTGCTAATGGAAGTTTTACATCTGGAATTTTTAAGGATCATTAGGAATTTAGTGGATCTTGTTAGTAAGCCCTTCCAGCTCTGCCCATGACCCTCCTCTCAGGAGGCCTCCTCGCTGAYGTCACCAAGTCACCACCAAATCCTGTCTCCTGTTCGTGCCCTCCCTATGCAGCTGGCCTCCTTGGTGGTGGCTGCCGTATCCTCGGTCCTGCACGTTGGCCACTGCTGTTCCCACAGGAAGATMTGCCCTCAGGAACTCCCAGTGCTCACAGCCCCTGGCTGAAGGCACATCCTGCACCATGTGCCACCTGCCACCTCAGGTGGCTTCCAGGAAACAGACTGTCAGCATGTGGTGGACATGCGGTGAGCTGCCCCATGGTCACTGAAGTATCTATCCTGTTTAACAAGAGCTGCGTGTCTGGAGTTGTGCGCCGACCTCCTGTTATCCGTACCTAGCTTCAGCAGCTGTGGGCTACCACGTTGCCTGGTTTTGTACCAGTTTCTTTTGGGAAGCTCCCAGCACTTATGTGACCTGTTGCTTGTCCCCGTGCTGCACATGAGTGGTCGGGGTGGCAGTGCTGCTGGGGCAGAGGCCCCTCTGATTCACTACTGCTGCTTTCCAGAGGAGATGGGCTGTGGCTGCCCACCCCCAACTCCTCAGGCTGCATCAAGATGGGCCCTCCCAGCCCTGACCACAGCAGAGTGGGAGAGGTGGCCAGTGGGCCCCAGAAGTGCCCTGGGGGCCCCACAGCACCCCAGGAGGGCTTGTCTGGGGCTGGAGCAGATTCCCAGGCTGTGTGGCAGGAGGGTGGACCTCAGCTGGAGGCCACTGCCCTCACTATGCCCTGCCCTGTGCTCTGGCAGGAGGCGCCTTCTCTGCCGTGCACACACCACTGCCACTGTGTCCCCTCACCTGAGGCCTTATTCCCTCGGAGCCCTGCCAACAAGCTTCAGGACCAAAGGGTGGCTTTTAAAAACACGCTTCCTAGGCCCTTCTGAAGTACTCTCCAGGACAYCATCTGACTCCAACCGCCTCCACCCCCAGGAAAGTCTTTGCCAAAGCCATGGCTAGCAACTGTGCTGGTCCCCACCCTTGCTGGGTGCCCCGGGGTGTGGGCTTCACCTCCCTCCTCTGGTCCCTCACTGCAGTGTGGCAGATAGACATCCCTCTGTAACACGTGAGCATTCTTTTTTWTATATATATTTTTTTAGTTGTAGATGGGCACAATATCTTTATTTTATTTCTTTATTTTTATGTAGTGCTGAGGGTTGAACCCAGTGCCTCACACATGCTAGGCAAACGCTCTACCACTGAGCTACAATCCCAGCCCCCACATGAGCATTCTTGACGTGTCCACGCCAGTTCAGCCCAGCTGGGCGCCAGCCCCCCGGGGCCAGCGCTGTCACACAGGGAATCCAGGGCCTCCCCRCTTGCCTGTATCTCCGCCTTAGGGTGGTGGCTGAGCTGGAGGCCAGGGTGCTCCTTGCTGTGGGTTGTGCTCACTGGTGTGGGCAGCAGAGAGAGGGCTCCTGCTGGCACGCCTGGTTGGCAATCCCTCTCCCTGCCAGAAGTCCCCCTTTCTTTCCCACTTTCCTGTGAATCTCRGCATTCCCTTCAGGTCGTTCTCAGAACTGAGGGGTGGAGCCACTGAGGACTCCGTGCTCTTGATCCCTTTGTCCCAGCCTTGCAACCTCTAGTTACTCTTGGGGAGCAGCCCCCCAGGAGTGAGTGGAAGCCAGAGCGGGGAGTCCTGAGGAGTCTCGCGCTGTTGGCTCTGCCTTCGGGAGAAGTGCAGTCCCCATCCTGCCTGATTGGTGACTGTCCCCCACATGGGTGGTTGGTGCAGAGGAGACTTTCCCTCCCCCGGGTTGAAGCTCCCCGTTTCCACGTGCTTTTCCCCCAGACTCCAGGTGGGTCTGTCAAAGCAGGAGCTTGAGAGCGCACTCCCCAGCACACTGGCCCCACACCTGGGGCTCGGCTGAGGACCAGCGTCCTGCTCTCACTACTTCTGCAGAAGTCATCCAGGACATCAGAACCAGGGTCAGTGTCATGGGCCTGCTCCTGGCCCTCCGGCCTGGATGTGGCCTGTGGAGGGTGTGGAGCGGCCTCCCTTTGGTCCTCCTTCCTTTGATACACATTTTCAGAGATGATGAGTTCTTATAATGTGTAACTTGGTTATATTTTATACTAATTGCCTTTAATAAAGCCTTTTTWAAAATGCCAGCCTGTCTGTTTTGGCTTTTGCTGGATTCTGGAGGCCTATTGGGGTGATGGCCCTTGAACACAGGCAGGGGCCCAGAGCACAGTCTTGACACGGCCTCTGCAGCCTGCTAGAGCCAGGCGACAGCCACAGGGTGCCTGCCCGACAGGAGGGCAGCTCTGCCTGGGGGGCTCCGGCGCAGCCCTGGGTGATGTGGGAGCCACAGCAGGGCTCCCAGGACAAGCCCAGCGTATGGAGTCCCTGGGACCCTGCAGAGCAAAGGCTGTCCCAGAAGCTTTCACCTGAGGGAGTCAAATCTGGGGGTGTTTGTTTAGCTTCGCGGTTGAGGAGCTTCACCACCAAGCCTGGCCCCTCATCCTGTCCCATTCATTAGAGTGCAAGTGTGAAGTTTTCGCCACAGATGAGAGAGAAGTGTAGATGTCACTTTCCTCTATCAAATCAACCTTGGAGTCAGAATGTGTAAGCGTGTTGGTGGGGTTGTCAGAACTCTCCTGACCTCCCGGGGACAGGGAGTGCCCTGCATTTGGAGAGAGGCTTCAGGGAGCCACCTGAGTGCTAGGGCTCTGTGCGGCCCAAAGCCCGGGACCTCTTTCCACTATTGCCAGGCCTCCTGGGCGGCTCCTGGGTTTGCGGCTTTGGGTCGCTCGGTGCATGAGGTTAACATGCTCAGAACATGTTGCTGTCCAGGGCATCCTCCACACAGAGATAGTACCTGGCTTACCAGGTACTCTGCAGCCAGGGAGAGAGACCACATCTGAGGGACGTTGCTGCCTTTTGGAGGCACCTGGGGGGTTCCTGGTAGTTCTTTGTTCTGAATGATTGTTCCAGCCATCCTCTGATGAGCTGGCCAGTTCTCCAGGTGCCCTGATGCTGAGAGGGAGCCCCTCAGGATCCCGTGGTTCTGTGTCCACCCACACTCAGGCAGAGAGCAAGCAGTCCTGGGCATACACTTGCCCCACCAGGAGCGGGGAGTCGTTTGTCACAGTAAAGCACACACCTCGGGGCCCAACTGGAAGTCTGTTCTGTCCCAGCCCTGGAGCTAAGGTCCCAGCTCAGTGTGCCCCAGCCTGTTCCCCGGCCCTCTCCTGGCTTGCAGACGCCCTCCTCCTGCTGTGTCCTCACATGGCCATCCCTTTGCATGTGTATCAGGACACCAGTCACTGGATCAGGGACCCCAACTTTACATCTTAATTACCCTTCAAAAAGCCCATCAGCGGTAGACGCTCGCCTAGCATGAGGGGGGGTGGGGGCCGGGTTCGATCCTCAGCACCACATAAAAAAAAGAAAATAAAGGAATTGTGTTGTGTCCATCTATACCTAAAAAATAAATATTAAAAAAAAAAAAAAGCTGGGCTGGGGATGTGACTCAAGCGGTAGCGCGCTCGCCTGGCATGCGTGCGGCCCGGGTTCGATCCTCAGCACCACATACAAACAAAGATGTTGTGTCCGCCGAGAACTAAAAAATAAATATTAAAAAAATTCTCTCTCACTCTCTCTCTCTCTGTCTCTCACTCTCTCTTTAAAAAAAAAAAAAATGCCCATCTCTGCAGTCGCATTCTGAAGTCCTGGGAATTAGGGCTTCGACATATGAATTTTGGGACGGGGCATTTGATTGGCATCAAACAAAAAGTTATGTCTCATAACAGCAACCAAAAGTACAGGATTTCGAGGAGCCAACTTAAGCTAAGTATGCAAAGACTGGAACGTTCCAGATGAGTGTTTGGAGGATTTGACAAGTTTACTTTGAACTGTGAACAGAACTCACTGAAGAAGCAATACGGTGGGGATCATGCTGTTGGTTGTGAGAGGACCTTCCAGGCCCCAGAGGCCTGGCTTGTGGAAGGAGCGCAGGACAGACAACGTCATGATGGGGTCAGAGTTCAGGACAACCCAATAGAAAGGTGGGGAGGGTCTCTGGTATAGAAACGAAACTGTGGGTTCTCCTCGGTGCTGGGGAGGGGGTTGTGCACCCTTGAAGACCAGGTTGGAAAGGCCAAAGTGAGCAGGGAGGAGGACAGCCTGGGCCCTGGATGAGGGGAACCTCAGGGAAGCCTCGGGGCCAAGTCGGAAGCAAAGCAGTGCCTGACACCCCTGCTGAAGGGCGCATGGAGAACATCTGAAGACCAACGCGCCCTGGGCAGTGTGCTGGGGTCCCCACGTGGACATCTCCTCCCGCAGGTCAGGAGCCGCCCCCGGGAGGTTCTTGCCCTGCCTCCCCAGCCCAGCTCGGCCCCACATGGCCACTGAGTTTAGGACAGGCCTGCGGCTGACGAAAAAGTGCCAGGAGCAAGAGACCCACAGGGGATGTTGAAGACTTCACACAAAAAATAAGGGAAGAGACTGGGCTGGGGCTCAGCAGGCAAGCGCTCGCCTGACACTTGCAAGGCACCAGGTTTGATTCTCAGCACAACATAAAAATGAATAAATAAAATAAAGGTGTTGTGCCCAACTATAACTAAAAAAATATACATTAAAAAAAATAAGGGAAGATATTTCCTGGATAATCTTGCCGTGTTGGTCACATGTTGAAGTAATAGTTTGGGTACATAAGGTTAAATAAAATGAAATATTAATTGAGATCAACTTTGCTTATTTCTTTTAAAATATGACCATCTGAAAAGTAAAAACCACCGAGCGGCTGGCCTTGTCTCTCGGGGGGCAGCTTCAGTGAGCGCAGTCTGCTCACACGGGCCTTCCCTGCACCCTCCTGCCAGACTTGTGCACAGCTCTGCCGGGGTCAGGGTGTGCGCTGGTCAATGTGAGGCATGTGGACAGAAGGCTGAGTCCTCCTGGCTGACCCTGGCACTGTGAGCAGGGAGACAGTCCCTGCCTGCCAGCACCACGCAGCTCTGGTGAAACAGACCCATGCTCGTGGCTGGTGAGCCAGAGGGTTCTCACGGCCAGAGGAACGACCTTTCCAGACAGGACCTGGGACCCAGGGGTCCTGCACATCATCCATCTCCTCTTCTGTTGGATTCCACCACTCACCTCAGGGGACACGCTCCCCGCCAACCCACCAACTCCAGTGAGTTGTCACATCGATATGGCAGGAAGGACCCCTGAAAAGGGCAGGTCTGCCCTGTGGTCCAGCCCAGCCTTTGAGGCTGGTGAGCCAGAGGGATGAATACCAACCCGGAGCACATGCCAGGTCAGGCTTACACAGCAAGAAACAGTGGCCACAGCTTTTCTCCCAAGTCGCCCATGGATGGAGCCCCCCGGGGCCATCACTGGGGGTGAGGGGCCCAGGAAGACAGAGACCAAGGTTCTGTTTTCCTGTGGAAGAAGCAGAAGGACAGAGGCTGACTGCACATTCCGTCTACCACACGGTGGGGCCAAGAGCAGCCTCCAGGGCTGAGGAGCAGGTGCGGAGGCAGGAAGGGCCATCCCAGGCCTGGTGATGGTGGGCTCGGGCTGGCCACTGGGCCCAGTGTCCCCTTGGAGACCGTGTGCGTGGATGAGGGGCCGTGGCGGTTCAGACCAAGGTGTCTCCTAACTCCGAGGTGGCCATTCTATTTTGCTGGGAGCAGAAGTCTTTGTACTGGGTGAGGTCACTTCCCTTTCCTACCTCTGCTCTAGGGCATGTGGGCCAGGGAGGGGGACTCCGTTTGACTTGTGGCTTGGCATCTGGAGCTGCTGGAGCAGGTCTGCCCTGTGGTCCAGCCCAGCCTTTGAGGCTGGTGAGCCAGAAGGATGAATACCGACCTGGATGGGTGGCTCCAGCTGCCAACCCTGCTCATGGAGGGGTGTCGTTAGGGGGCAAAGCATCCTGAATCCCAACACTGCCCCCTGCAGCCTTGGCACAGCATGTCCACCCACAGTGGGCTCCTGCTCTCCTGGCCCACAGGGTCACCAACACGGAGTCTTTGGTCTTCAGCTCTGGACACCACCTGCAGTCTCAGTTCAGGGGTGAGCAAGCTGGAGGAAGCCGTGTGAGGTGGTGTTCCTCGCTTAAGGACAGGCGGCCTCACAGGGTCTCCGAGAAGGCTGACCCACTGCTGCAGACACACCCAAGGCACAGAGCAGCACGGATGCCGCATCCATAGC